AATTTCTCAAGTAATGATATTATCTTGAGACCATGCTGATTAACCAGAGTCCCTCTTGTCATCTTTGTGTTGACAAGTTCACATATTGTATTGTAACGCAAGCTACGAGCACCTTCACCATAAAACTCATTAAGGTGAAGCAATATGGAAGTACAATCATCCATATCTTCATGTTGTTTTAGTAGCTCATCGTTCATGGATGCTAGTAAGTAACATTTACCTATACTATCATCCTTGACATGCTTCTCATAAGCATTTCTTTCTTCCTGAGTTGCTGTTGGGTCGGGAGGAATATGTGGTGGGACTTGTGTCAACACATAATCAATCTCATCCATTTCAAGGACAAGTTTCACTTTATGAAGCCAACCCGGATAGTTCGTGCCATCAAGGATGTAATTGTTAAGTATCGATGAGATTGGGTTTTTAGCAGCCATTTGAAAATTCTGCAACAACATAAACAAATTTTAGTTTAGATTAATCTTCTACCAAGGACTTAGGGTCTTTAAGTCATGATGGTAGCTCCCACTATTTTTGGTAAATTTCATATCCCTCTTGAAATCTGAGAGTTTCCGTTGAAACTCTTAGTGAGGATGGGAGTCTCAATTTCACATAGTTTTCCTCAAACCTAACAGTTTGTTGGATTGCTATCTTACTAATGAGATGATATTCTTATCCAATCACATCATTTATGTGAATACCCATCACCATGCCCTCTAGAGAACTAGACCTCAACCTAACAGTTTGTTGGTTTAGGTCGTCTTAGTTAAGTTATTCCCACCATGCTTGTGGGTATAAGGTTTCAACTATGACCTCAACCTAACAATTTGTTGGCCGCACTCGTTATCTGTCCGCACTACATTAAGTATGTGTAATAGGCTCCCCTTGGATGGTCACAAGTACTGGATGTTGCCTCACTGAGGTACAACAAAGTGTAAATGTGCCACCCAATAAGACACTACCACATTGGAAGGCCACAAAATAGCATTCAAAGTGTCATTTCGCTTATCAACTTAATATTGCTTTGAGGTAGTTAAATTGGTCTCATTTTAATCCAATTTTAATCCTATTAAAATGACCTATCTAATCTCATTAAATGGTTCCCAATGCAACATATTAGTAGCACATAGTACTTCCACTAAATATTTTAGAAACCATTTGCTTGAGATAGTGAGAATACATGGTGCTACTAATTGGTTAATTATTGTCATTACCGAACATTCCAATTGCATTGGGCTTATAGGATGATTATGGACTTTCTTATTAATCCAACACGAGCCACCATGTTGAATCACGGTCTTCGATGGTGATTCATTTTAATTACGGGCATATAAAAATAAATTAGGCATGAAAGCCATTTCCTTATTACATAGCCAATCAAAATCGAATACATATCCAATAAGCGGCCAATCACAGAGCTCAATTGTTTGGTCTAAGTCCATAACCATCCTTTAATTATTTAAATGCTTTAAACAATTAAACTAGCAATGTAAGTACATGCTCTTGGGTTGCATACATATATATAGGTTTAATTCAAGTGGTAACCATATTCAAACAAAATAAATTTACCATGAAGTGAAAATATTTTACTACAATAGTAAATGTAATTGTAGGAACCTTTTAGGCATAGTTACACTTATCATATATTGCAACTAGGTCCAAAACTATTAAACAATTAATAATGGATCCAATGTTGATCCACTAGGGTATGGGGTTAAGGCATGCATTTTTATACACAAAGTGGTGCTCATGATTAATCCAACAAGGTGAATAATCATGAATGTGACTAGGTAGGCCAACCACACTCACCAAAGTAATCTTATTAATTTTAGTGTGGTGGGCAAATAATTGTTGATAGGAATAATTTGATCAACTTTTGCATTTTATATCAAATCACCATCATTTACATCTAGATGGACCCTACACACTCACCAAAGTAATCTTATTAATTTTAGTGTGGTGGGTAAATGTTTACCAAGTGGAAACATTTTGAAAAACTTTCAATTTTATAATAAAACATCATCATCATCTTTTGAACCTATCTTGGTGGAAAATTCCACTAACACAATCATCAAAATTAGTCACCTAACTTATGGATCAAAAAGATCTCATAACAAGAACATCAAGAACACCAAGAACACACATATATGAACTAATATGAATGTTCATGCTATTTCCGGAAAAATCCATATTCCATTTTAACCATCTCATGCTCTTAATATCAAATATTTCATGAAGTTAAATCATGTAGGTTTTAATGCAACCGTGCTCTAGTGTTCATACATACATATATGCATACAAATAGAGCATCAATCATCAAAACATAAAACCGGAAATTCAAAAACAAAACTTCTTCCAAGTATCTTAAGCCATGAACATTGATATGATTTCATAAAATGAAAGTACAAGAGAAAAGGATAAGTTCCAATTACCCTTGAAGCTATAATATGAACCAAGTTGTGTTTTGGTCTTCTATTGATGATTTCCCTTTGTTCATCTCCTCTTTGATCTTTCTTCTACTTGTGAGCCACAAAAGGATATGGCCTCTAAGTCTCCACACCAATGGAACCTTGAGATGAGAGGGAAGAATCTTGGGAATTTAAGGATGCTAGTGCAAGATCCCTCGACTTGGTTTCAATCTAAACCCCTTAAAAGATGATAGTGTTTCATTCTTGAAAACTCACTTTTATCTCTCTTTGATCTCCCAAACCTATTTGGTTGATGTTGGATTGTGTTTGTGTGTTAATGAGCTTATGGAAACAATTCTCATACTCATTTACTTAAGCATTTTCGGCCAAATCCCATTGGGCTTCCAAAATTGGGCCTTATGACAATTAAACCATAATATTTAGGTGTCTTAAGCCCTTGGGCTTGATACCCAACCATCTGGGCTTCCCATTAACTATTACCGAGGCCCAAATATGTTTTTACACGTAGTAAATCATCCACATCAAATCAATCAAATTGATTTCTCATTGTCATTTTTATTACTCAAAGTTAACCATTTAAGGTGTGTGATCCATTAGGTTCTAATTTAGCAAGTGATCGGTGCATAATTACATATCATTTTGTACCTTTATAACTAATAATTTGGTTATGTTTTTGAGTTAAACTTGTGCTTTTAATCTCTTTTGTGTTTTTTTCAGTGTATTAAGTTTTGGGACTCATTTAATGCATTTTGGAGTCAAGTGAGCTCAAAACTGTGTCTGCAGATTAGTCAAATTCATGGATTGGACTGTACTTGCTCAGGAAGAACCAGATAATGAGCCATACATCATTGGAAAGATGCAGAAGTCTAGTTTTTGAAGAATTTTACGATTCATGATTCTGAATCTTCTAGAGGAAGTTATGAAAGTGTTGGTAGCTTAAGGTCAAATTCGACAGCATATGCGTTACTATGCCAAAACTGACATTTGAAGGCCTTTTCGATTTGTCCTTGAGCTATAATTCATATGGTTGGAAAGATAAGATAAAGAGCTTCAAGATCCATATTTTTCCAGATTTTTCAGAATTGAGAAACATGCCCAAAACAAGCCCAAAAGAAGACTGCAATGCATTGTCATGCATGACATATGCATGAGCTAATTGTTTGTGGTGGGATTTGTTAGTGGAGTTTTGCAGCAGCCAAAAGAAATAAAACAAGATGAAGTGGGAACTGCAACAGTAGCCAAATAAGAAAAGAAATTAATTTTCTATTGCATACTTAATTCAGATTTTGACTCCCCTTAGGCCTATAAATAGTGAGGTTTTCCAAGCTTGTAAACACACCCCAAGGAGGGGAGCTCTCAAACACCTCTCTAGAGCTCCTCTCCCTTCTCTTTCTCAAACACTTTCTCCCCCTTCTCTTCCTCAAATTCTCTAAAGCTCTCAAACACCTCTCCCTTCTCAAATTCTCTAAGGCTCTCAAACACCTCTCCCTTTTCTTCCCAAAATTCTCCAAGTTCTCAAACACATCTCTCTTCCCTTCCAAAAATTCTCCTTTTTCTCAAACACCTTCCTTTCTCTTCCGAAATTCTCCAAGTTCTCAAACACCTCTCTCTTCCCTTCCAAAAATTCTCCATGTTCTCAAACACCTTTCCTTTCTCTTCCTCAAATTCTCTAAGTTTTCTTTAATGTTCTCAATTGTCGTAGAAAACGCTTTTCCTTCTTAGTTATGATTTATTTTTCATTGTAATGTAAATTCTTTTCTTAAATATTCAAGTTTAATTAGTTTCCAAGTTTCAATTATTGTTCTTGTTCTTATTCATTATGCTAATAAGTTAATATGCGTGTTTGAATGATTGATCACCATTAAAACTTGTATGTTAGCTATCTTGGTTTGAATTAAGAGTAGACACCATGCTTTAATTCGAATTAAACTATGAATAGGATGAGTATGTATGGACATTCGACAACGAGGATTAGATACATACTTGGTTGTTAAAACATTCTTCTTTGCTTAATGGATTTCTAATGCTTAATTTTAGGTTAGACAACAAATTATCAAATTAGGGAATTAGGAATACAAGGTTAGGACCAGACACCATGGCTTAATCATACTTTAGCTAGAATCAATCCGTGAATCTAAATTGAACTTGGGAGCTTATTTGCTTGAGTTAATTTCTTTTCTTTCTTTCTTGTTTTATTTATTTTCTTTCTTCTTTTCTATTTTGTGTAGGGAAACTGAATTGGATCATTTAATCACCAATTCATGTGGAATTGACCTCGCACTTACATGTGCTAAACTACCAACGGCTCGTGCACTTGCGAGTATCACAAGTTGAGGATGCAGCTGAATCCATTTTGGTACAGCTGAATCGACGCAACAGCAAAGCAATGCGAAAATATTAGAACTCTTTCTAACCAACTGGAATTAAAACCCTTTTTTAATTCTTCCTTTATTTGGATCGATCACAATCAATCTTAGGACTTCCACAAGCCAAGAGTGACATCTAGCAATATATCAAGGCTACTCAAGCTAATTAGAATAGATGAAGAACCTATTCATTTGGAATTGCAATGCAATACGGTCCTTCTCTTATACAATGTTTCCAATCATATTATTAGGGTATGGATTGATTATGTCAAACCTCTAATATGATTAACCTCATGTGATTCAATAGAACATGATTAAAAACCATTTTCAAAATCATGTTCAAGTACTTTGGCCAAAGATTCATTGAATCATATCTTAAAACATTCTCCTGTTCTTATCAAAGGTAGAGATTCCTTATTGTGCATTCACATGCCTCCATGATGAATTAAGAGATCCCAATAGAACATAAGGACTAATTTGCATTATTGCAACTAAGAGTTCTCGTTTGACATATAGATAAATATTCTATACGAGAACTACAGTTGATCGCGTTCAATGTACTCATTCACTAATGAGCACCCACATACTTGTATTAGTGTCAACTACACAAATGGTTTGAGATCAACCATCCTCATTATTGAGCATACATAATATATGCCAATCTTGACGGTTTATCAATGCCCATTTGATAACCCTATGATTAGGAACATTTTGGGATACTACAGTTAGAGATTAAAGGTCTTCCGAATCTAAACTTCTTTAGATTACTTTATCTCTTATTTAGTATACCATGGACATTTGTTTCTTTACATGATATAAAAGATAACAAAATAAGATTGCCCTTTATTTATCATATACAAAATGTATTCTAAGGATATTACATCAAATGTATTGGCTCTTATGGCACATTTCTAACACAAGTTGCGTACATCATTAACTCATTCCAAAGCCACTGGAACCCATCAAAACAATCGCTAGAAGAAGAACAGAGTATTCTCTAGGACTTGCTTCTCCTTCGAGATGCTTTGGGCTTAGCTCTTGCTCACTCAGAAATAGGGACTTGAAGGTTGTATTCATTTCTTCTTAACTATCCAGCCCAGCTAAGCCTTCTCAACAAAAAGACCCCCACAATTATCAAGAAAGATTCAAGTTCGAATAAATCCTTAAGTTTGGTAGAAAACGATGCTCATAACAGTTAGACACTACAATGTATGAACAATAACCGATGCTAAATACCTTAAAAGCATTGGGAAATATATCATAAGCGAAGTGGTTCTCCTTAAAAGACATCAAAGTCAATGTTATTTGAAGAAAGTCAACAACTGAAGCTCATTGAGGCATCAGTTGATTTGAAGAGACCGATGTTGTTTAGGCATTGGTTTTTACTGTAAAAGGCAACGATTTTTTCCCGAATCCTATTAGCATTTTTTTGGTAGAGTCCCAACTGAAATAAATTGACAAACCAAAAGTCAAAAGAAGTTTTTCTTACACTTTTCGGAAGTACTAAAACTGTAGAAGTTAATAGCGGATTGTTATGCTACAGTAGTATAGGATGTTACTGGATAATATGAACGCGACCAAAATAAGTACAATACGAAAGCATTCACTAAATATAGCATATCAGCAGCATCTTCCATATATATTACATCATAAAACAACTGAAAACCGCTGCCCTAGACATAAGTTAAAAGAATTGTTACAACCATTTTCTCTAGCCACCACCCTCGTATGGGAATCGTAGGCAAGTTTATAGCATCGACACACAGAACGAGATACGATTCCAAGTGAGGGCAACACATTACATGAACGGGATAGGTCTCTCTCAATGGGAAGTCAGTACTGCTCGGTTATATTCCACAATTGCTTGTAGACATAAGCCTGGTAATGCAACACATTACTTGTCCCAAACTGCCCTTTTACAATTGTTTGTAGATGAGGACATATGCCTGGTCATGCAATACTTTGCCGGTTCCAATTGCAGTGACAGATGCATCATCAAAGCGTAGCCACTGACCATTGGTATAAAGAGCATCAGTTGTATAATGCCCCTTTGAGGGCTCTCTCCCGTGATGAGTTATTGTAGCAACAAGTTTGTATTTTCGACCCTACAGAAGCAAAGTGAAGAAAATAAACAAGAAAACGAGAATTTATATAAAAGGCAAAAGTAATCTTGAAAATCTGGCTGCGACTACCACAAGGTAGTCAAACCATAATTGGTACTTCAAGACTTACAAGTTACAAGAAGACAATAAGGAATATCTTTATTTTCTTCTTTTTTGCTAAAGAATTGAGTATTTCTGGGTCTGCACAATCATTAATGTTTCCATACCAGTTTTAACAAATGGTGAAGTTCCACAGTGAGACTACATAGAGATGTAACACAGATTTTTTGTACCAACTCCGATCACAAGAGGTGATATAATGTATAAACACACTATGACAACAGACAAATCCAAGAAATTTTCAATCAAAACCCATAGTACAAGGTTATACTACTATATAATATGAACTTATGGTTTCAAATATAATTAAAGATCCATCTAGATAAAAGATTTCAAATCTAGGAACTTTGTGCTCATATCATACAATTTCAAACTATTCATTAGAATGCTCTTAATTTCAAATGACTCACTGAACCCAGTCATTCCAAAATATTACAGTTTGTACTAGTAGTTTTAAATTATATCTAGAGTTTTTATACTTCAGGGTTTAGGGAAAGTTTAATGAAAAGTTTCATTTTGAGAGTAGTTACGTGCCATTCTCAATTCCTTGTATCTTTCACTCATTAAAGTCTTTGCTGCACTCACATATAAATCTTATATAACTTGATTTATGCATTAGATTTTTTTTCCCAGTAAAGCAACTGATTGATAACACACCTGCAATTTCTGAAAACAAAAATTATAAGTTGTCTAACAGACAAATACAGCTCAAGAACAAACGTGTAAACCAGAAAGAAAAAATAATATAGAACAAACACATAAACATGGAATTGGTAACAGAAAGGAGTAGGACAGGCGTCTCATTATTTCCACATAATAGAAGAAATATGGGTCATTAGATAAAAGTTTAAAATAACAAATTTAGATATAAAAGAGCATCACCTCAGTAGTTGGAGAAACAAGCAATTCACGACCCAAAACCAACTCAAGTGGAAAATGCACGGGCTTATGCAACTTAGTGCTTCCTTGGCTTCCATAACCAAAACGCATCAAGTGCAAGATCATTATCTTTGAAAGTGTCTGTATCTTTATTGCTTTACTAGCACTTACAACACCAGCCTGAAAAGCGATGATATACATAAAAGTCAAACAACAGTTAACATTATTTGTAAGAAAATAAACTATGCTTGATATTAATTTTTTTTTAAAATCAAACTATTATAAAACCTAGGCTGTGGCACATAAGTATTTCAGATGCACTACCTTTAAATTCAAACAATTTTATTCTGGGTAGAAGTGTGCATAAAAAATTAAAAAATAACCATGACCAAGCAATCTGTTCAAATTTGATTATACAGAATACAAGGACAAAAAGGGTGACACATTACAACTACACCCAAAACTAAGCGACAACAATAAGTCACCAAGAGAGAGAGAGAGAGAGTATACCTTCCCAGCTGCTGATGTTCGATACCCCTCAAGAGTTTCTGGTGCAGAAAACAACTTGAGTGCATCCTCGATAGTACGAACAGCTTCAGGGTAAATATCAAGGTGGAGCAATAAAAATGGTTGAACAGTAGCAGAAGCTTTATTTCCTGCTTAACAAAAACCAAACACACACATAAAACTCATGATAGAATCACTACTGAGGCAAAAAAAAAAGCAGAGTGCTCCAAAATAAAAGTAGATCAACTCTACTAGCAAACTAATCTGCAATTACTTATTTTTTAAATATCTTCTATAACCATATGCTGACAATTGATCCCAGCAGTTTCTTCGAATGCACTAGCAAACAGAAGTTCTGGTTATTCATCCAAATAAATTTATTAACGAGCTAAGGTCAAGCCCCTCGAGTAGATTAAAATTATATTTGTCTACAAATATAATTAAAATTTTCTGATGTGGAATTCCTTTACGCTTAAGTACATCCTCTAGAATGCCAAATACTGCATCTAACTTACAACAACACAAGAATCATGAATTCTTGCTAAAACTCAAGAATCGTAGATAATTAAATCTTTTTATCAATTCACATGCACACAGGAAAAGGAGCCAAACGTCCATATGACATTAAGAAGCTAACAATAAGGGAACATCATATGTTCAAACTGTATCTAAATTTCAAATTTTCAAAAAATAAAATGTGAATCAACTGTAAAATTGTCTACCTCTTTGAATTATGAAGAAAAACTGAAGAACCTCACAGCCTCAAAATGCAAGTGTGAACAGCAAGAATTTGGAAGTACAAAGATATATCTAACAAAACTGTTCGAAAATTTAAAAACTTAAACAGCCATATGAATAATGCAATCCCCACACCTCTTGCCTTCACCACACTTCTCAATTGTCCTCCAAAAATATCGCTTAATTCTGAAGGAACAAAACTCTGTGTCCTGGTTACTGCAGATGTATTCTTAGGGCCAACCGTCTCCCATTCATCTTCTTCTGCAGAAGATACTAGAGATGATTTGCGCCCATTAATACTCGAGGGCTGTCCTTCAAGCTTAAGTAATTCATCATGCATCTGATCCATAATGAAGCTAAGGAACTCCTGAGCATCTTCTTGTCTGAAAAAAAAAAATAGTTTCACTAGGCAACTTAAAATAGAGAGTAGAATATAGATGTGCTGACATTGATATTTACACTAGACAGAGAAGAAACTGAACAAGCTACTTATTTCTAATCCAAATTTAACCCTTTGGTAATTACTCTTGAGGTGTTCTAGGTTTCTTCATTCCTTGGTCCATGAAAATATTGGCAAACTCAGAATAATATAGAAGATTGTTAACCTATTTGTTATAACATTTTACCAATCACAAGTTAACTTCTAAAATATCTCAGTCAAACCCATTATTTCACATTAAATGGGTTGCAACAGGTGTAATAAACCACAAACAGATAAATAAATTGGAAAAAAGTGTAACATGTTTTCAGAAACTAAACAATTTAAGTGGTGACACTGTAACTGCAGCCAGGCAGTGGCACTTTTTCAAGCCATCAGACAAATTGTAAATCATGAGAATTATCAATCATAATACTGATGGAAAACCATTACCGATCAATACAAGATTTATGAGAATCACAAAGTAACAAAATTGCACTACATGTCTGACCTTTCTTGTTTATTTGGAAATAGTGAAAAGATATTAATACAAGGAAAGAAAGGAACCAGTGCATAAGGGATTTAAAAGAAAAAAAGTGGCAGGGAAGGACAACTTTTGTGACTACAAATAGATGCATGTGTCTAAATCTTTTTGCAATGATCGTGCCTTAGAATTTCGGCCAGCAATACCATCAAGGATTAAATTGGCAATAAGAAGGCTCAACATAGAAATAAAAAAATACAAAAAGACAAAAACTAGATCAGAAAATTATTGACCCAGATCAGATACAAACCTTGGCCTGCCCGAGATGCTAGTTGGTACATCTGGAGTAAAATTTTTAAGAACGCCTTCAAACATGGCAGGGCTAAAAGGCCTACCAGTCTCAAGAACACTTGCATCTTTGTTCTTTGAACTTGAACCACTAGGCATGTCAAATTCAGAGACGAACTCTGCAAATGCACCCAATGTTGGATAGCCAACCTAATGAAATCAAATTCAAATGGACAACATAGTAGTTAAGTGATTAGCCACAGAAAGAACAAGCATTAGGCAAGGTAGCTTCCTATTTTCTGAGATCAGCAATCTATATAAATTTTGTTATTTGCAAATAGCAATTCTAGATGACAAATGGAATTGAAAACACGCATCACAAACGAACCAATCCTAGATGACAAATACCAAATTGAGGCACTTCATCGTCCATAGAGCAAAATCAATCAGACGAATAGAAGTTTCATCCAAGCATGAAGTAATTCACAGTTAAAATACAGAAATTGCCAATCTCTCTAATTACTGAACTTCACAAAATCAGTCACAGGTTAGTGAAATTATGCTTCTCAAATGAAAACCATCCAAAAAGACAAACTAGTCAATAAGAAATACAAAACCCACCTTACAATCACTCCTTTTGCGCACAGAACCGAATTGGAAATCCCAGAAACACCTACAAAAAAGCACGACTTTCGTCGTCCATAGAGCAAAATCAATCAGACCAATAGAAGTTTCATCCAAGCATGAAGTAATTCACAGTTAAAATACAGAAATTTCCAATCTCTCTAATTACTAAACTTCACAAAATCAGTCACACGTTAGTGAAATCATACTTCTCAAATGAAAACCATACAAAAACACAAACTAGTCAATAAGTGAGACCACCTTCGTTATTGGATAAAGGTAATGAAGCTACATCAATATTATCCGTTGTCACCTCTTTCACACCATTACTATGGGCAGAACCATTTTTATAATTATCAGTACATCCATTCTCTGTAGGAGTAGTTAAAGATGCTGGTAAACTATCATTTGCTGCTTTTACAGACTCCGCTTCATTCTGCTTATTAAGTGAACTTAAAGGCTGAACTTTGCTGAGCCCTTTCACAGAATTTTGTGGTCTGCTTGATTCACCATTACATTCACCCGAAGATATTTTACTAACAAAATTTATAGACCCAAACTGCAATACATTTTTTTCCACAGGCTTTTTAGCCTTCCCAGGTGATTGCTTTTGCAGCAGTGACCTGGTCTCGTCTTCAGAGAATGACCCAAAAACGAAGAGCTGCAAACAAGGAATAACAACAAAATTTAGCAGGTTTTATAGCACAAAGGAAGAGAAAAATCCCATGCCAATTAACACTAGTATTTCAAAATCACATATTAAACCATAAGACTAGAACGGTGCAAAATATCCTACTAGATGCTGAAACAGCAATGATAACAACAAATCTACTTCTGCATTATTACTCAACAGCTAATTTAGGGCCTAGTGAGGTAAAGCTGTGTTTATAATGGAATAGCCATTGCCACCACAATAAATTCCCACACTAAATATCCATCATAAAATGGAACTGAAAACATGCATCACAAACGAACCAATCCACGATGACAAATAGCAAATTGAGGCATTTCGTCATCCATAGAGCAAAATCAATCTGACCAACAGATGTTTCATCGAAGCATGAAGTAATTCACAGTTACAATACCGAAATTTCCAATCTCTAATTACTAAACTTCACAAAACCAGTCACAGATTAGTAAAATTATCCTCCTCAAATGAAACCCATACAAAAAGACAAACTAGTCAATAACAAATACAAAACCCACCTTAGAATCACTCATTTTGCGCACAGAACCGAATTGAAAATCACAGAAACACCCAACGAAAACCACGAATTTTGCCTGTGAGAGGATTGAAAATGAGGAAGAAGTATGTGAAAAACGTCGGAACCGAAACCAAGAATTAGGGTTTTGTAAGGCCCTGAAGGAGCAGAGGAGGAATAATCCCGCGAAGGAGCAGAGGAGAAGAGAAAGACGTCGATTGAAGACATGAAAAGAGAGGGAACTGAGAGATTGTTGAAGGGAGAGAGCATTTAACGAAGAAACCCTCTCTTTCACCTTCAAGAACCCCCTCAACAAACCCCAACATCGACCGCAGAGAGAGAGAGAGTGCTGCTTAGGTTTAAGGGTCGGTGTAGGAATAGGTTTCTGTTTTTTGGTTCTTTTGATTTAGGATGGATATTTTCAAAGGAAATTTTTTAGAGGCCTTTTAATAAAAAGCTAAAAACAAAACTGTTTTCAGGAAAAATAAATAAACAACTCTTTCATTATTAAGACACTGAGCATGTCGAACACCTCTTCTCCTCACAGTTTAAATTAAATTAAAATAGAATGTCGCTTGAATCAAAAAAAAAACTGAGCATATTTAGACCTAAATTTTCTTTTTTTAAATACAATTATTCATGCCAACGGGGTCTAGCCTAGTAAAAAAGGACATTGACTTGTAGACTGGTCTCCTGTTCGAATTAGGGATGGCAGAAATCCCCGTGGAAGCGGGTCCCCGACCATAACAAGAAGATTTATGGGGAAATTTGGGGACGGATACGGGGATCCCCGAATTTTAAAATCCCTGGTCAAAGATAGGTCGAGGATGGTATTGTTATCCCTATTTCCGAACCCAGCCCGACAAGGGATATTTATTTTTTATTAACAAATATGTGTTATAAAACAACAATTAACTTCTTTTCAAATAATTTTAGAAAATTAATGCATTCATTTCAATTAACTATCATGGAGTCGTTGTTGCATACGGCATTCATTTCAATTGCAGGTCTATCTCTCGATTTTCCAAATAAAGATGTACAAGTTTGCAAGTTGTATGGGATATATTAATAATAGTGTTGATCGACATCTAACCGGCTTTTTTTAAACTACTTTTAATTAGGCTACATTTTATTTGCATAGATACAAGTTTCTAATTATTCAACCAACATTAAGAAAATATTTAGTGTTGTATATATGAATTGGTTGTTCAACTCCAAAAAGAAAATGGAGTGCAAGTTGGAAAATTAAGTATAAATAAAAAGAAAAAAGTGAAGTAAAAAGAAATTAATGTAGGATAAGGGTAGAATAGGAAAGCGAAAGAACAAAATTAATTAAAAAATATTAAAAAGCAAAAGAGAATGTAAGTGCCCGTTTAGCATTGCTTATTTGGGGTGATAAGTGATTTTTTAAAAATTTTGGGAAGCCCAGTCCATTTGGTAAACTATAAGAAAATCACTTATTATTAAAAATTGCTGTGAGAGAAAGCTATAAGGGAAAGCAGCTAATGGGGTGCTTTCATTTTCTGATTATGCAGGAATCAGTTTCGAAGAGGTGCTGGGTTTAATGATTATGCTGCAATTTTTTTTCTAATTATGCTGGAATCAGTACCAACAATACTTCTAACAAAAAGTTTACCAAACGCCAAACTGCTTTATCTTACAGCTGATTTCTCTCACAGCAAATTTGACAGCGATTATTTTCACAGCACAGCAATGCCAAAATGTCCGTTTGGCATTGCTTATTTGGGGTGATAAGTGATTTTTTTAAAAAAAATTAGAAGCCCAACCCGTTTGGTAAACTATGAGAAAATCACTTATTGTTAAAAATTGTTGTAAGAGAAAGCTATAGGGGAAATCAGCTAATGAGGTGATTTATTTTCTGATTATGCAGGAATCAGTTTCGAATAGGCGCTGGGTTTAATGATTATGTGGCAATCATTTTCTGATTATGCAAGAATCAGTACCAACAACACTTTTAACAAAAAGCTTACCAAACACCAAACTGTTTTTTCTCACAGCTGATTTCTCTCACATTAAATCTGACAACGATTATTTTCACAGCCTAGCAATGTCAAATTGACCCCAAGTAGAAAAGAGGAAAGTGGAAAAATTAGCTCCAAAAAATTGACATGCGAAGCCTCAAATGGTTTTCTTTTCACCCATCTTACACTATCAAAATATGAGACCCAAGCTTTAATAATTGTTGTTTAACAATTATTTAAACCTTTTTTCATAACTTTTTTTAGTTAATTTTTATTTATATTATTTTAAATTATCTACAAATATTTTAACCTCAAAAGTTCAAATTGCTAAAACAAATATTGTCTCATAAAAATAAACAAGTATAACAACATATAAAATAAAAACAAGTAGAACAATATTGAAATTAAAAGTGAGTAACGCGTGACTTAAATTATAAACAACATTAAACTAAACATCAAACACAACTTAGAGCATTTATAATCATATTCCCCACTTTTCTTTGTTGAATTAATCTTATTCTCAAATTGATTAACTGGGTTCTCTCATATTTTTTTGAGTTTGCATAGTATGATTTGATGGCCTTTTCTCTCCTAAGGCCACGCCGTGACGCCGAATAGTTGTTGCCAGTTTTCTTCTGCCCCTTTATTTTTAGGGGAGGTGGGTGCCATGGAGCGAGAGGGAGGTAGATGTGCGGTCATGGGGGAGATGCAGGTGGAGGTGCAACTGCGGTAGACCTAGTAAACAATTCGTGTTTACTTTGTATCAGATTGACACGACACAACTCATTAAATTAACGGGTAGAAAATACCAAACACGAACACGACCCCTTAAAATAGCGAACGACATGACACAATCTATTTCACCCATTAAGAACAAAAAGAAACTAAAAATAAAATATAAAATAAAAGAAAGCTGAAAAATAAGAAATAAAATTCAACCAAAGAAGAGTTGGGGAGGGGAGAAGGAAGGGAAGAAAAAATAGAAAGACATATAAAACTACAAAATTACTATACTCTTAACGGGTGATAACAAGTATTCGAGAATTCACAGGACACAACCCGTTAACTTGATCGATGGCTAATGGGTTCACCGTTTTCAACACAACCCGTTAAGCCCCGACTTGAATATTGATTTAGGATTGCAAATTCGTGTCATGTTAATGAGTTGTGTACAATATTGTTAGGTCTAAACTGCGGTTAGGGGTGGCAATTTCGGGCATGACTCGTTACACGACTCGAAACCCGCACAAGAATTTAGTGGGTTCAACCCGCACGATTAAAATTCGGGTCATTTACCCGTCATGATCCGTTCAATAAATGGGTGAGTTTCGGGTCAACTTGCCAACCCGCTAAAATACCTATGTAACCCGTTTAATAAAACGGGTCATGGTGGGTCAAACCACAAACCCGCAAAAATATCTGTATAACCTGCCAACCCACGAACCCGTTTATTTGTTTATTCTTCATTTTTCTAATTTTTTAAAAATGTCTTTTAGTTGCTACCACTTAACGGGTCAACTCGTGCATGACATGTTTATTAAACGAGTCGGGTTTGGTTTGAGCATTCTTGACACGTATGTAATCTTGACACAACATGAATTCGACATGATACGACCCATTGTCAGCCCTAACTGCGGTGGGTGCTGGGGTCTGGGGTTATTAGGGCATCTCAAAGTGGTGGATCTGTTGTTTTTTTTTTTTGGGTTCAAAGTTTAATTTGCCCCAAAGCTATATCATGTGTCAGTCACATGGTTCAAGTTAACATAAAATGTAACGGAATGACTAATTTGACATGAAAGAAAGAGTTTGAGGACCATTAGAGTGAACATTTTGGTTGGAGGACTAAAATAGAATTCGGGCATAAGTTCATGGAAATATTTTTGTTCACTACTTTAATCCAAGGTGTAATCTTTCTTACCGCTTGACACGTGTCTATTGACATAATCATAGTTAATTTTTTGCTTTATATTTATGGAACTATGGACCTATGGTTATGTTCATGGACATGTGAGTATTAAGAAGAGTGTTGCTATTTCCACCCTCTTGTCCAATTTCCCCACCCACCTTATCTTTTCACCCACCATGTAAATTTTAAAAAACATAATCCTATCTTTCCACCCACCATTATTCCTAAAATACCCTTTATTATTATTTTCTTTTTATCAAACGTAATAATTTAAAACATAAAAAAGAAGCTTAATGGAACTTAACAATTAACTCCTACAATCGTTATTCTTCTTTTCTTTTCTTTTTTCTTCTTTCTTTTTCTGCGGTTTCTCCACCCAATTGTATAGGTTGTTTTTTTCCCTCTTCCTTTCTCTAAGTTTGGTTGGTTTTGGTGGTGGCTTGAGAAAATTCGGGGTTTGGGCCCGAGAATTGGAGGGTTGAGTTGGAGGGTTTGTTAGGAGCTGTACAAAGCAATGACAAATGTAGATGGTGTATAAGAAGACAGGGCTGAGAAAGAAAGGTCACCTTAAATTGAATTAAATTGAATTTGAATGATTTTGATTATTATGTAAAGATCAATTAAGCTATTATAAAGAGAGTCTACAAAAAAAAAAAAATCTTCTGTTTTGGAGAGTTTGTTTAGGGTTTAGGAAGGAAGAAGGAAGAAGGAAAAACCAAGCCTCTGCAATTGGGTGGAGAGGCTGCAGGTATAAGAAATAAGGAAAAAAAAAAGACTAAACTGATTGGGGGAGATATTGGCCAAAAAAGATTGGGGGAAGATGTTGCAAACAAAACAAACAGGAAAGGGGGAGAGGTTGAAGAGATAGGAAAAAAGAAAGAAAAAAGAAAGGTAAATGACAGCAGGAGTTAAGGTTCAAATTGTTAAGTTGAATTAGAGTTTTTTTTTTTCTTTTTGATTATGAAAAAAATTCCAATATGTTGGATTAAATTTTAATGAGGTGGTATAAGTCCTTAAAAGTCATTTTACAAAGAGCTACATTTGTGCTTAAAATTTTGAAGATAAGGTGAGCGGGGAAATAAGACAGGGGATGAAAATAGTAACACTCATTAAGAATGATGATAAGGATACACCCTGGATTAAAGTCATCATTTGAATAAAAAACCCAAATTCATTATTGGCCTCATAATCTACGTGGACGGGCGTCATTATGCAATGTAATCCGGGATGGATTCGTATTCGTTGAGGATCTGAACCAAAAAAACCCTGTATTTTAATTTCTCTTTTCTCTAATTTAGTGTTATTTTATTTATTTAATTTTCAATTCTTGAAAAGGTAGCGTGATGAGACTGTAGCAGGAGCTGTTTTTCAAACTTTATTTAAAAGAAAAGAAGAACTTGTTTTGCTAAAATCCCAGTGAAGCTATAAAGTCTCACATGACGTAAAAGTAAAACAACCACCATGACTAACAACCACCACCACCACCACCTCCACGCCCCGCTCCGCTCAACTCCGCAGTCCTCTTCCACCTCGTCATCTCAGACTTTCACATCGAAGCTCCTCCTCCTCCTCACTCTCCTCCCTCTTTCGCTCGCAGCCTTAGCCTTCATTCTCCAATGGCGCGGTGGCATCCCCGACCCCACCACTCGGTGGTCCCCACCTGGTTCCCACCACCTCTTCCCCGGCATGGACGCCTCTCCTCTCTCCTCCGCCGTCGTTCACTCCACGCCGTCCGATTGCCTCAGTCTCGGCCGTTCAGCCTCGCCTTCGTTTCCCTACTATCAGAATTGGAAGTTTGATTCTGTGTCCAATTTGAGACCAAAGGTGTGTTCTTTTTTCTTCTTTCTTTTTGGATTTGAGGTTGATCTGGTAATGGGTTTTGCTTGTTATAGATTTGGGTTTAGTGGGTTTTTGCTGCTGTATTCGAAAATTCTGAGTGGTCGTCCAGTTTGAGGCCAAAAGCTTTGTTACTTTGTGAAATTGGCGACCGTCGTCTGATCTGTATCTGGGTTTAAGATTACGGGTTCTAGAGTTGTTTTGAGGCTGTTTATATGTAGTGAGCCTTTTTTTTAGAGGAGTTGTGCCAATCTTGCATTTCACTTTTTGCGATAAGTTTAGCTCTTTTAGATATATTTTGGTTCAATGCTGTTTGGCTAATAGATCCTTTTTCTCATGCTGGTATGCTCATGTTTGAAAATGGATCGTCTGCCCAATTGGGTCATAGGTGTTTTCTTTGTAGTTTTTTGTTTTTTGTTTTTTCATTGATTGGTTGAACAGTTTTTGGTGTGTACTAGGTGTTAAGAATTCACACACAATTCCTAGCCCGAAGATCGCAGAAACAACCAAGAGAATAAAATGAAGAAAACAATCAATCACCCAACACACAAATTACGAGGTTCACCCTGGTTTGGGCTAATAAAGACGATCCAGCAGAAAGATAGTAAAATTACAATGAAGAGGAGATAGCCTCTTCCCTCACACTCACAAGTAATTTCACTCATCTCAACCCCAGTACACCCAAGAAACTCACTCTCACACTCTCAAAGTTTTTTCTCTCACTCGGTATGCCACAACCCTATAGGCGAAATCTTCAAAGCCACTAGACATCTTTTGATCATGCCCTTTGATCACACACCACGGAGACTAACACCATAAGGATATACTTATAGTCTCCCTTTCAAAACCCTAGTTTCACTAGAGCAAGTTACCCAAGCTCAATAGAACTAGGAATCCAAAAACATACCCTAATAGGACTCAAAATCGAAAAAGGAAACATAATCATGAGCAGGGCTGACCTGTCGCCAGTCGGTTTGCACCGAAAGTGACCAAACTTTAATACCAATTGGTCGCCCTTTGTCACCGACCAGTCGTCGGTTATCCTCCATGCCTTTGACAACTAATTTGAGCCACTATCCCAACACTAGGTGTGATTTGTTGGTGGTGCATTGGTCAAGCAATAGTTTTGTTGCGGAGAATCTAGGAACTAGCAAGTTTTTGTTATGGATTTTGAATTCTCTCTTGTCAGACCAGAGCTTTTGATTTTTCACTTGAACCATGGACCCTTGGATTGTTAAATTGTTTTTCAGAGCTAGTTAATGCAGTAAGTTGCTTCAATAATTTGAGGCAAAGCAAACACAGATCAGCTGAATCTAGAACAGAGGTAACCGAAAATGAATAAAAAACCAAAAGCTTACAATTGAAGTGAATTTTGTTGCAGAGTAGTAGCTGCTCTTCACTGGAGATTACATATGGTGCTTGAGTTTCCATATTATCATCTCAATCGTGAAGCACTTTCTGTTCAAATGCCGTGTAATGTGAACCAACTTTATCCGTATTCTGGAAACCTCAACTTAACCTTGCTTTCCAAATAGACTTGCCTGACTTGTTAATAGAAGACACTATTATATATGCTTTATACTTGCAAAGATGGGTTTTCCTTTTCTTCTTTTTTTCCCCCCGAGTTGAACCCACCGTGCAGGCCCTGCTCTAGAGATCAAACATTGACAATGGCATGTCAAGTGATTCTGCACAGCCTAAGAATATAGGGAATATCATAGTTCTTCAAATCATGGAATGTAATGAAGAATTAGCTACAGCCATTTAATGAGTGTTATATGTGGTTTGATGAATAATCATGAGCAACTTGGGTATTCAAAACATAATGCGATTGATTGTTTCATTGACAACCTGTTCTGCAGACTCGCGGTGAGAACATACGATAACATTGCCGTTTACATATTAGACTTTATATGGTACCAGTATAGAGAGTGAATGGTTGGGTATTAGAATTTGATTATATGAATCAGGTATCATTAGGACTTTCCTGTTCTAGTTATTTTATGAGTACTGCTTATTAATATCAGGAAAGCAAACATTTTGGTAGAATGAAGTTTTCCTCTCTTAACAAGTTAGTTTTGTGTGCAGATATGTATTACTACGAGTACTTCAGCTGGCTTAGATCAGATTTTACCATGGATGTTTTATCACAAGGTCATTGGAGCTACTACCTTTTTCCTTTTTGTGGAAGGAAAGGCTGCATCTCCTGAAGTAGCTAAAATTCTGGAGTCCATTCCTGTGAGTTAAAATATACTTCATTCTGACTGCTTATGTTCTTCAAATGCATTTCTACTGTTAGTTCTACTGTGCTTAATGTTGTGAAATTTGTCTAGAATAAATTTTGTGGTACTTTTCAGGGAGTAAAAGTGATATACAGAACAAAACAGCTTGAGGAGCAACAAGCTAACAGGTTAGTTGATTTTGCCGCTGTTCTTCTTGGACTATATGCTTACTGATAATGTAATCTTCTGTTATTATTACAATTCCTGTCAGTTGTGATTAATCTTCTGTATATCTATCTCTTTTGTTGTTTGGTAGATGCACACACACACACACACAATCTGCCTTTGGAATGGATAACTGCTCTATGGAGACCCGCATAATTCAGATGGCCCCTCTGGCCGTTCAAATTGCACTGAAAAAAAGAGCAAAACATGCCTGTTTAGGGCTTAGCTTTTAAGTTTTAACTCCCGAGTTTTGGGCTACTAAAGAGTCCTTAAAGTTGAGAGTTAAAATTTAAAACCTAACCTGAAATAAACCTTGCCGGGAAATGGATCAAAAACTAAAAAATAGACTAGTAAAACATGGCGGTGCTTTTTGAACGGCAAGCACAGCTGTCCAAGTGGAGGTCATATCAGCAGTGTGGTTATCTGCTTCTGAGAAGAATTCTATTTTCATTTTCGCTGAAATCACTTGTATTTTAAGCTTCTTGTTTTTGGTACCATCAGCCGAATTTGGAATGAGACTTGGCTGTCCAGTTTCTTTTACAAACCTTGCAATTATGAGCTATTTGTGAAGCAATCTCTCAATATGGAGATGGCTATTGTCATGGCAAGGGTATGAAAGATTTTTCTCATATTACTGGTTCCTATGTTGTTAGTTTTACCTTATGATAATAGGTTTTGTTGATTTATTTCTTTTTTATCTGCTTGGAACTTTCTCCTGCATACAAAAATATCAGGATGCTGGAATGGACTGGATAATTCATCTTGACACGGATGAGTTACTGCACCCAGCTGGTGCCAAAGAGTATTCTTTGAGGCAGTTGCTGCTTGATGTGCCTAGGAATGTGGATATGGTTATTTTCCCGAACTATGTATGTGAAATTGTTTAGATACTTTTAAATTGTGTGATTTTGGGACATGTAAAGATGATCAAGCATGCTAGTCTTGTTAATTTCTTGTATTGGCTCCTGTTTCAGCCCTGATGCTTTTATTCAGTGATTTAACTAACTGTGCTTATTTTTATTGAGTAGGAGAGCAGTGTTGAACGCGATGATATTAAGGAACCTTTTACTGAGGTGAATTTCCTCTACCGTCCATCATTCTTGCCTTTTTTATTTAGTTAAATAGACTTCACTATATCTCTAGAGTTCAACAATCAATAGATTGATATTTGTTATTCTATATGGGTCTTTAGATAGTAAAATAAGGTACATAGCATATGTTGCTGCCTGTTCCTTCATCATGCGTATCATAACTTTGAATTTGTGATGAGTTCCTAACCTTATCCTTAGACTTACCATGCTAGGAAACAGTATATTGTTGCCCAGTTAAACTGTGCAAGGACAAAGTTGTTAAACACACACATGCACACTTGGTGCCAATTTATATAATAGGAAATTTGGTTTAGGTCACAAATAGTATTGAAATTTGGAAATGCGAGGATCCTATTTTCTTTTTTGAGTCTAACCAACAGTGGTTTATGTTATATTAGTTTTAGGTCACAAGTCAACCAATTTTTGACCTTTTGGAAAGTCAAAATTGTGGCATTTTGTATAATTTTATAATCATTTTTGGTGTTTTAGTTTAACTTTAGCTCGACTTTTCAACTTTGATCTAAAACTAAATGCTAAAAAACATTTCTGATCAATTCCTAATATCAAAAATACTTTTTTACCAAAATCAAATTAGGCCTTTATATAATCCGAATTAATGGATCTGTGACCAGCTATGTTGTTTGAAATGTTTACCCAAGAACGTGAAATGATTCCAACTTGTAAGTAAACTTGCTATTACCTTGATCTGCCTTGTTTTCAAATCTATACAGAAAGCTTTGAAGTTAACGTGTTATTAGTTCAATAATGGCATAGTGTTTGGAGAGAAGTAGGCAACTGTGGGATTAGGAGAGGTAATATATAGGATATGGAGTGTGCTGCATAAAGATGCGGTAGTCACGAACCTTCCTACAAATAAATCTATCCTGGTTGATTTTTGAAAATGCTGCACATCATCTCTATTTTACATTTCAATTAGCATTCATATATGGTCTTTGATCTATGTCTTGCTCTTGTATCTACACAAACAGGTATCCATGTTTAAGAGGAATTATGACCATGTACCAAAAGATACATACTTTGGCATGTACAAAGAATCAACTCGTGGCAACCCAAACTATTTTTTGACTTATGGAAATGGGAAGTCAGCTGCTCGAATCCAAGATCATCTCCGTCCTAATGGTGCACACAGATGGCACAATTATATGAAAACCCCAAAGTACTGTAATTTTATATGGAAAGAGAAGTGTTTTTTTTATTGAACTTATTCATCCCAGTAATCATATTTCTTGTAATTCCTTTTAGTGAGGTCAAATTTGAAGAGGCTGCTGTTCTACACTACACATATGCCCGATTTTCAGACTTGACTTCTAGACGTGATCGGTGTGGCTGCAAGCCAACAAAGGAAGATGTGAAAAGATGCTTTATGTTGGAATTTGACAGATCTGTGAGTTCAATGCTTTGTTTAGATCTTGTTAAACTCTTCCACTTGCATTACAGTATCATCAAGCACATGATATAACTGGTTGAGTTTATAAAACTAACTAGTTGGTCCATACAGAAGAGTTATATAATGTGACCATGATAGGCACTAAGCTATAAAGGGTCCAATATAGAAAGGGAAAGTTCACAAGGGATACTTATACAACTGGTTGGAAGAAATTTGAGGCCTAGGAGAGGGTAATGTGGCAATAAGATGAGTTGCTGTTATTAATCTGATAAGTTTGGAAAAAGTTATGTCAGTCATGGAAATTTACTTCTTGTATGTGGTCATTTTCATTCAAAGCAGTCAAGGAGGCTATTTGGATTAACTTGGGATCTACTGGTGACTGTCAAGTTCAGTTGTTTATAGAAATAGAATTCTTGAAAATTTGAAGCACATTCTTATTGATTGAGCTGTTTTTTGAAAAATTAAAAAGGAATATAGTTTTGTTATTTTCTAACTTCAAGCATAATCTTACGGCGAGGCATATATGGCATAGTGACTTTCTACTGCAATCATTTAGCAGATTTGGCTAATATTCTACGAATTTGTAAATAGAATTTGGACTTGTCTTTTCCCTTCTATTTCCCCTTTCTTTTGGTAACAATTAAAATAGCTGCCAGCTCTTGAGTGCTTTTTCATTGCATTTCATTGTGCTAACTCTTTCATATACTAACTAACAATTAGCATTTCAGGCATTCATAGTTGCTTCGACTGCAACCGAGGATGAAATGCTGAAATGGTAAAATCTTCCGTGCAAGTGCTTATCTTCATCCTCTTTTAAAATTTGAGTTGTATTAATTCAAATGCTGTATATTTTGGAGAGAACTGTTGGAATTAGCTTACTCTTCATTATTGATAATCCTTTATTGTGAATTAATGTTTGAGCTTGGCTTCTATTCTAGGTACCATGAACACATTGTATGGGATGACAAAGACATAAAATTGAAACTTTTGAGAAAAGGCATTTTGACTCGAATATATGCTCCCATGGTAAGCATGTTTATCAATATTCTTCACCACAAAAAATTTAATCCAAAAGAAATACAAAAGAATCTAACTAGTGGTCACAATTTTTTTTTTCATAGCTGATATATCTAGTGCAGAAGACACATTTGAAGTTGACTAGTAATGAAAAATTTACTGTAACTGTATTTTTGCATAGTGTGATACATTGTAGTTGTATTTTTATATAATGTGATGGATGAAGTAGACATATATTTAATTTTTCTTTTGGCTAGTCATGAAAGACTGTCATATCTAGTGTTTATATCATGCAGTTGAGGATTCACTCACTTCATCTTAGATATTATGCCTTTATTTTTGGAAGTCTTCCCTTGGTTGTCTTGCTAAATAACAGAGCAGCCTTCATCTCCTAAAAAGTTTCATTTGCTGAAAATAATGTATATTACAATAGATAGGGCGTAAGTGGTTAATAATCAGAGGGAAAGAGAAGAACGAAAGTAAAGGAGGAAGTTAGTTTGATAGTGGGAAGTGGATTATCTTTGTCTATGAACTTCAAATATCACACAGAACACAATTGAGTTGGTTTTATTTATTAGTGTAGATCTGAATCATTTTAAAAGCTATCCCTTGTTGTACATCTCAGGCCATAATACAAGGACTACGGGAGTCGGGAGTGTTCAGCTCTGTTATTGCATCTGCCCCAACAGCTCTCTCAAAAGAAAAGTTTTTGTTGACAATTGATAGTAGTAACTCTTCTAGAGCTACTGCCTCCCAATCCCTCCCATCGAGGAAGATTGGCAGAATTGGAGAGAGTAAGGCTACTATCAGGAAGGCCTTGGAAGTTGACGCAGCTGAATTTGAAGAAGCTGCTGTTCCACCATTGTCGCCACCCGGAATGGATGACAACCATCTCAGTGTACAAGTGTAATAAGGTCTCTTAGCGTGATTGCTTCTTCTTCTTCTTCTTCTTCATAGTGTGAATGGACAGGTTAATAGGTAAGTTTCAAATATAGCTGTAATTATTCTTTTGTAATTTTTTATTAGTCAGACAGAAAATTCTCATGTGACAAGTCTAGCTTATAGGCTAAAGTTCATTGAAATTCTACAGATATTTCATTATAGACATTGAAATTCTATATGAGGATTTTGTTCACAATTCTATCCATAGACTAATTAAGTTGCATTATTAGCACCGTCTTCATTCTTTATAAAATTATGTATTAACATAAATGTGATTAAGAAACTCCAGAAATTTTTTTTAGCTCAAACATATGCAAACAAGCTGCACGTCCAATGTTTCATCCGAGCTCCGACCATTTACTTGTTGGTCTAACACCGCTCCTTAGTGGTAAATCACTTTAGCTACATGCTCATTCTAATATATCTTGAATAGCTACAAGCTCTTTCTTGAAACTCTTGGTATCATTCTAATATATCTTGAATATAGAACTGACACGGTTCAAAACTAGATGCAATGAATGGGTGAATGATTTCTTCGTAACTTTTCCTGACTTTGTGCCTGTTTGGCATTGCTTATTTGGAGCAAAAATCACTTTCTTGGAAAGTTTCGTCCACCTACCTGTTTGGTAAATGAAAAAATAATCTGATTTTAAGAATAATTGCTGTTAGCCACAGAATTTGACAAAGCTGCTAGGAGGGTGATTTCATTTCCGCTTATGCGGAAAGCGGTTTGGGGAACGGTGCTCTTTAATGAATGTTTCGTAAATGCCCAAATTATCCTCCTAGGCTTTTACAAATGACATCTAGTGTCCTCTCACTTTTGCTGAACCCTCCTTTCTCTTCCCTCACGATCAGTACTCAATTATTCTTCTTCTTCATCTTTTTTTTTTTCTCATCTTCTCTTCACACCTTTTTCTTGAATTTTTTTTCCACGATTCCTGCTACCTAGATCTAGGTTTGTTTCTCATCTTCTTCTTTTTTAAAAAATTTTCTCCCTTCATTTCTAGGTTGTATTCTCAAACAAGGTTTTACTCCGCATCACCCTCAGGGTGGGTTGCTATGAATTTATTGGTTTTGTTGGATCACTAGTATATTTTCTTTACTCTCTTTTTGGGTTTCAATGGAGTGCTATGAATTGATTTTATAAAAACAGAAAAACGAAAAAAGAAAAAGAAAAAAGGGGGGGACTCATCCTACCTTCTGGGTTCTAATGGATGAGCCACATATCGCATCTGGAAAGAAGGGGCTCATCATACCTTCTTGAAAGAGGATAATTGAAAACATCATCAATCTATACTCTTTTAATTTCTAAATTTACTTAAAATATATGGAAAGGAGTGCATATATGCTATATTAATTGTATCTCCCTGTTTTTTTTTTGGATCTTTGGTGTATTTTGTTACTTTCTTTATGGGTTTCAATAAAATGCTATATTAATTGATAAAAACAAAAACAAGGCAGTATGAGTTAGAAATCAAGGCTTAATAAAAGGAAGACTTTAGATTGAAGTTAACGTTGTATAGCTGTCTTACTTGGACAACAATTCTTTTCCTTTTCTGTGTAATTACCTTAGACATAGGATCTGGAGATTTCTTTCCTTTTGTATTCCTTAAGCTTTGTTATATATTTGTAATCTTTGTACAGTGATCAATATAGAAAACATTCACCATATTTTCTTATATGGTATCAGAGCAAAACGTCTGATCCCTCTTTGCTCTTCCTGCAATCCTCATCATGATAAATACCGAAGAAAGCAGTGTCACACCGAAAACACAAAAATCCGTCAACCAGGAAACTATTTCAATACCTGATTATGCAGTTTCTTCACCACTTTACCTTCATCATTCAGATAACCCTGGCGCTATTATTGTCTCCAAGCCTCTTATCGGAGATAATTACCCTACCTGGAGTCGAGCTATACGCAAAGCTCTGGAAGCCAAGAATAAACTTGGATTCATTGATAAAAGCTTGACCATGCCTACAAAAGCATCCCCAGATTATGACCAATGGATTCGCTGCAACAGTATGGTGAATTCTTGGATTGTCAATTCACTTTCTGCGGAGATCTCCAACATCGTCATTTATACCGAGAGTGCGCTTGATGTCTGGACTGATCTCAAGGAACGTTTCTCGCAAAAAAATGCTCCACGCATATTTGAGATACATCGTAGTATATCTAATCAGCACCAAGGGACGTCTTCTGTGTCAACCTATTACACTGTCCTCAAAGGATTTTGGGATGAACTCTCATCGTACACATCTGTGGCTCCTTGTTCCTGTGGTGCCACCAACTCTCGTAATGATACCTTAGAGGAGCAGAGACTCGTGCAATTCCTCACAGGCCTTAATGAAGTTTATTCTACTGTTCGAAGCAATATTCTATTGATTGAACCATTACCCACAGTTACTAAGGCCCATGCTCTTATTTTACAGGATGAACGTCAACGTTCATTGAGTTCACCAACTATAAAAATACCAGATCAATCTGCCTTGGCTGATATTTCTCGTTCATCATCCAAACCAAAATATCATTGTGATTTTTGTGGAGCAGATGGTCATACTGAATCTCATTGCAGGAACAAAGATCCTTCAAAATATTATTGTGATTTCTGTGACAAGGATGGGCACTCCGACTCTCATTGCCGATACAAAAGGAGACAGGGCAATCAGTCTACGGGAGATCAATCCACCGGAAATCAGTCGAATAGAAACCATGCATCTAGCAGGAATAATCTGAATAGATCCAATAAGCCTCCATTTACTGCTGCTGTGCATGCCAATCCATCACCATTCAACACCGGCGTAACTCTCACTCCAGAGGAATATCAAAAATTTCTTTCCATGGTTTCCAATGGTAAAAGTAGTCCTTTGGCAAATAATTTTGCAGGTATTTCATGTGGCCTAACCTCTGGTTTCAATTCCTCTACTTGGATTATTGACTCGGGTGCCACTGACCATATGATATCAAATTCAAAATTATTTCATACCAAAACACCCATTACTTGTGCACCAGTCAAATTACCCACTGGCCAAACAACATCTATTACACATATAGGCCAGTCAAATCCATCCCCCACATTACTCTTGCAAAATGTACTCTTTGCACCTTCTTTTCAATTCAATTTAATGTCTGTTCATAAGATTACCAAGTCCTTAAATTGTTCCGTCACGTTTTATCCTAATGAATGCATTTTCCAGGACCTAGTTACGAAGAAGAGGATTGGCAAGGGTAGTGTGCGTGGTGGTCTCTACTACTTGGATTCCGAAGATGCTCCCATTGTTTCCACCATCACATCTACAACCTTTAATCTTTGGCATTGGCGTTTAGGCCATCCCTCCCATATGGTTCAATCCAAGATTTCGCACCTTTCAGATTCTGTTTCTTGTTTTAATAAGGATACTTGTTTGATTTGTCCATTAGCAAAACATGCTAGAACTCCTTTTCCTTTAAGTACTATTTCCAGTTCCAAATGCTTTGATTTAATACATTGGGACATTTGGGGCCCTTTCACTATTTCATCCTTTACTGGTGCTAAATATTTCTTAACCATTGTTGATGACTATTCCCGTTGCACTTGGACTTATCTCATGCATTTCAAATATGAAGCTTTCCAACTTATACAACAATTTTTTTCTATGATCAAATTGAAATTTAATTTTTCTATTTGCAAAATTCGCACCGATAATGGTTTAGAATTTCTCAATGCTCATCTTCAACAATTATTTTCTTCTATGGGAGTGCAACATCAACGCACTTGCCCTGGCACACCACAACAAAATGGTGTCGTCGAGCGAAAACATCGTCACCTTCTCAATGTGGCCCGATCCATCCGTTTTCAATCTCATCTACCTCTCCAATTTTGGGGAGAATGCATCTTGACAGCTACATATCTCATCAATCGATTACCAAGTAAGGTTTTAAAAGGTAAAACACCCTATGAAATTTTATTTGGTAAACCACCAACCTATACACACTTAAAAGTTTTTGGTTGTCTTTGCTTTGCCAACAATGTCTTACACAAAGCACACAAATTTGACAAACGAGCCACACCTGGAATTTTTGTTGGTTATCCCCACAATAAAAAAGGTTACAAAATTTATGATTATTCCTCCCATAAAATTTTTATTAGTCGGGATGTCCAATTTTTTGAAAACCATTTTCCTTATGAAACAACACCTTCCACTCATGATCCCATCCTTTTTTCACCTCCAAATATGCCTACTGTTGAGGCCCAAAAAATCCATGGTTGGGCCCGAATAAATTCCTAGCCCAAAACGATATATTATTGGAAAAAGACCCGATTTGGAGTACACGAAAGTCTGCCATGCACAAGCCACACCATGCATGCTTTGCCAAATAAAAATCTGTCATGCTAGAAATTGAGATTAAAATTATAAAGATGCATTTAGCTCTGCAAATCCATGCCAATTATCCTATCAAGCGTCATAATTAAAAGCATGCCAAATGACATATCATGCCAAGCGGGAAAGTATTATTTCACACCCAATCACACTACAAGCTTAAGTGGGCCCAAGCCACTCAAATGCCCGGGGCTTGCTTGAGTGGGTTGTGGTATGGATGGTAACAAATTGTCATGGGGCCCATCGATGGGTCGAGAAATGGAAGTCTCGGGTCGCTTGGGGGCCTCGGGACTCAAGCCCATTTCTTAGGCCCAAACGTGGGTAAGCACA